GACCCTGGCTTCTGTAATATCCTGGTAACTTCGAAGTTGTTTGGGTGATGACAATAAAGGCAGTTGAGTGGAAATACCCTCTTATAAGGATTGTAAACACATTAGAAGTAGAACAGATGAACATTTCAGGGTAGAGATGTTTTCACCTGAAATCCCAGGTTAAGTAATAATACTAGCTTAAGAGGTGCCTGGGTGATAAATAGTCCATTAAGCATCTTCCTTCGGCTCAGGTCATGATTCCAGGGTCCTGGGATCGAGCCCTGCATCCTGCTTCTTGCTCAGCGGGGAGCCCACTTCTCTTCTCTACCTGCTGCTCTGCCTACTTGTGCTCTCTCTCTGTGTCAAATAAAAAAAATCTTTAAAAAAATAATACCAGCTTAACACAACTTTTTTTTAATAGCCAACAGTGTTTGTTACTTCGTAGTGTGTGCACGTTTTTTAAGGCAGATAATTAGTCTAACTAACTAATCATGATGAGTAACAGGAATCATCAACACTGTTGGAAGGGGGTCAATCCAAACAAACAGTTGGGTACTAGACTATTTTTCTCTTCAGTTCGATTCAGTTTTTCCCTTTTGGTAAGATCTTCTCATTCTCCTGTAGTAAGATCTCTCAAACAGCTGTAAGTTAGTGTCCTCAAAACTAACCATTCTGCAGAACACAAAACACACTCTCCTGTGTGGTCATTTAAAATTTTTCTCTTTCCATTTCCTCTTTTGAATTAGATCCTTTAAAATGCATTTGTGAGGGGCGCCTGGGTGGCTCAGTGGGTTGAGCCGCTGCCTTCGGCTCAGGTCATGATCTCAGAGTCCTGGGATCGAGCCCCGCATCGGGCTCTCTGCTCTCTAGGGGAGCCTGCTTCCTCCTCTCTCTCTGCCTGCCTCTCTGCCTGCTTGTGATCTCTCTGTCAAATAAATAAATAAAATCTTAAAATGCATTTGTGATAATATGAAAATGTAGGATCGCCTGGCAGTGTAGAGTATATTTGCTTATTCCAAGCCCAGTTAAATTTAATGATGCAAACCCAAAACAATGTTTTAAAAAATAGTAGGCATGTACATGTGTGTTTGGGTGTATGTATGATTATATTTATACAAGCCTGTTTCTTTTTCATAAAAGCTGATACCCTAAAAACAGTCTCTTTAATTATAGAGGTATAGAAAGAATAGTTACATCAGGTATGAAAAGAATAATTAAAAAAAAAAAAGAACAACAGCTAATACAGGTTACTTTGGGTTTTACCTCTGAAGAGAAGTAATAGAAAGGATTTTTGATACCCAAGATGTTGCTTGGTAATAACCATAATTATTTTCTAATTGAGTCCTATGTTCTAGGCGCCATTCTTCAAATTCATTATCTCTTACTTAACCTAACAACCACCTTACCCTTGGTGGGGGGGGGTGTGGAGGGTGTAGTTCCTTTTTACAGATGACTAAGGTGGAGTTTAAGGAAGCCGGGTAGGCGCATCTCCAGGGGAAATCTGGGGTTCACACCAGGGCCAGGTGACTCAAGCATTGGAGTTCTTTGCCCCTGTCTCTCATTACCTTGAGTTTCCACTGCTGACTCTCGAGGACGGATTTAGTTACTGGCCGAAGACAACCTGCAAGTTCCCACGAGAGCTGGACCTCCTCATCGCCCAAATTCCTCTTGTCCGGTCCATCCTCCCCCTCAGGGTGCTCCAGCCCCATGTCATTGGTCCTGCCACTAGTCCCATCTTTTTTCCACCCCAGGGCAGAGGTTCACTTCCTGTTCACCCCAGCAGGACACTCGCCCCCAGCCCACCCTACTCACTTTCACATCTAGCCCCAGGTGCCACCTGCCCTCTCCCTGCCACAGTTACATCGTTTGTTCCCATGACTCCCTTTCACAGGACACTGTTCCTTTCTTTCCTTTATATTAGGTCATAATGATATAGTTGTAATTTATTTAAGTCATTTAATTTCTTTTCCCTCAGTAGACTGCAAACTCTGTAAGGGGACTTTGACTCACATTTGCATCCATGACAAGGACAGTGCCTGTCATGTGAGTGGGACTTACATATTTGTTCAGCCCATGTACTCACCAGCTCTGACTTTTTAACTAGAGTAACTCATTTAAAGGACCATTTAGAGTAACTTTTGTGCCTTTAACTAGTTACAGAACAAATACATCTTGATTATTAGAAATTTGGGAAACTCAGAAAAGCACAAAGAAGAAAATGAAAATTAATCATAGTCCCAATACCCAGAAATAATCAGTTCATTTAACATTGTGGTATATATCCTTCAAGTCTTTTTTTTTTCTTTTTCTTTTCAAGTTAACTTAAATTCCAGTTAATTAACGTACAATGTAATATTAGCTTCAGCTGTAGAATTTAGTGATTCGTCACTTAATACAACACCCAGTACTCATCACAACAAGTGCTCTCCTTAATCCCCATCACCCATTTAACCCATCCCTCACCCACCTCCCTTCCAGTAACCCTGTTTGTTCTCTATAGTTAAGAATCTATTTTCTAGTTTGCCTCTCTCTTTTTCCCCTCCATGTCCATCCGTTTTGTTTCTTAAAGTCTACATGTGAGTAAACTCATACAGTATTTGTCTCTTTCTGACGGACTTGTTTTGCTTAGTATAATATACAATAGCTCCATCCATGTTATCGCAAATGGCAAAATTTCATTCTTTTTTTTATGGCTGAGAAATAATGCACTGCATCTGTATTTACCACATCTTCTTTGTCAGTGCATCAGTCGATGGACATTTGGGCTCTTTCCATAGTTTGGCCATTGTTGATAATGCTGATATTTATACATCAGGGTGCATGTACCCCTTCGAATCAATATTTTTGTGCCCTTCTCGTACATACCTAGTACTGCACTTGCTGGGTCATAGGGTAGTTCCATTTTTAACTTTTCAAGAACACTCCATCCTGTTTTCCAGAGTGGCTGCACCAGTTTGCATTCCCACCAGCAGTGCAAAAGGGTTCCCCTGTCTTCCCATCTTTGCCATCGCCTGTTGATTCCTGTGTAGTTGTTTCAGCCATTCTGACAGGTATGAGGTGATATCTCATCAAATATTTTTTCTATTAGCAGTACACTTTCAAAGTAAAACAAAGCATTAACATTTATTTGAAGAAAGAATGCCTCGAATTTTCAAATACTTAAAATGTATCGTCTATTTGTTAGTGAGAGCCAATATTTTAGGACTGGGCAGTCATTTAAAAAATTGAAGAAAGTGTGTTCAATTTTTTAAGTTTCTGTGAAGTTTGAAGCAGTTTGTGTAAGTTAAAACCATTTGCCCAAACTCGGTTTGCCTCGTTTAGTTTATGTATCATGTTAAATGTTGACATTCTCTTTTCTTAGTATGTCTTCCTCCAGCATTTCTGCCTTTTGGTGTAAAGTGTCCCCTCCTTCTTGAAGACTTTCCAGATCACTAGGGAAGAACATGACCCTGATCTCTAAAACTTGAGAGTAGTTGATACTCCATGTTTAATCTCCCCCACAGTCATCTTATTTTATCCCCCCTTAACAATGAACTCTTAGGGGAGGGCAAAAGTCATAGCTTTTCAACTAGCTATTGTACACAGAGCCTGCCACAGTACCTGTAACACAGTAGGCCTTCCATAAATGTCTGCTGAATTAATAAATATTAATATGTGTCCCACTGACAGTAATGGACTAGCATCATTTTCATATATGACACATAGAAAATAATATATAAGTTGCCAGGGTCCAATTCACTGGCCAGCCGTGGTGATCCGGGTTCCTTTTTTTTATGATGATGCCAACATGATTGGCAGAGACAAAGTTTAATTCCATGCATAATCAAGCCAAATTGCAGTTGGCTTGTGTTCCTTTGGACAAACTAATTATGCCATTGTTCCGTCGGTATTTCAACTCTATATTTTGTCTCAGTGTTTCTCATGCTTCAGTGCCTTTAAGACAGACAAGAATTTATAGATAAAGGACAGGTGCAACCAAGGTAACTCTCTCATGGAGATTACTGCTCAGCTCACAGCCTTGTCCTCATTACAGTCTCAAACATTTGCACATGTACCCCATAAGTCTGCACTCATCAAGTGAAGGGCCATGAAACTTGGAGGAAAAGGCATCAACTTAATTGAGTAACAATTCTGGGGTGTGGTTTTCACGTAGCATTCAGCCTGCAGGCTGAGAGCCCAAGTCCAGGAGTGTTTTGGCCAGCCCCTCTCAAATGTCAGTTTCTCTGCTGTGAAATATGGGACAAGTTCCTTATTTCTCCATGGCTTGGTTTCTCTCTGCAAAAAAAAAAAAAAAAAAAAAAAAGATAATGATAAAATTGGCTTCAGAGGGTGATTGTGAAGATTAAATTAGATAATCCGTTCAAAGCATTTAGCATGGTGTCTGATATAAACAGGTTCTACAAAATAGTTACTACTATTGAGTGAGAAGCACTCACGCGCGCACGCGCGCACACGCACCTAAAAAATGGCGAAGTCTTATTGGCTGGATTATTCAAATTGCAAAAAAATCAGATTTTAGCCCCGCCCCCTCCTCCACGCATATACACACACATGCACATTCACACTCCACAGCTGACCTTAGGCAGGGACAGGGTATGTGGTCTGAGACCCAGGAATGAGAAACAGTGCGAGCAGCCTTTTCCCTTCCCTGGCCTGGATGGATCCTGGAACTGCCCAACTGCAGTTTGCATTTCCAGCCCTTCTGGAGCGGTCAGTGTGTCTGACCAGGGAGAGCAGTGGCAGGGACAGTGCTGCTGGGAACCAGGGAGCGTCGGACACCTTAGGAAGAAAGCCCTGTTTCAGGAGGCAAGGCAGGAGGGAAGCATAGCGCTGCCAGTCAGAGTGGACAAAAATTCTTGGTCCTCGGGATCTAGGGATGAAGCTCAGCTCAACCTGGTGTCTTGTAGTGAAATAATCACTGAAAAGGAAACATACAGAACTTAGCAGAGAAAGGATGAAGAACACGGTTGTCCCTGCCCGTTCGGTCTATGAGACACGCCTCAGTGTTGTGTATAGCGTAGATGCCAGTTGACGCCGGACCGCTGAGAGAGCTGGAGAACTCAGGGTGAGAGGGGTCGCTCTTGGAATTACCTGACACAAAGTTTCCTTTGTATTTGGAACTTTCAGGAGTTAGGAGGGCTCCTTGGCTATTTAACGCATCTTTTAAAACATGGGTATTTAGATCAAGGAGGCCCTGTCCACAAAAGGAGAAGGCAAGTGAATCATGGCTAATCATATTTCAGGAGCTTTGAAGTCTGACTCAGAAATGACTGCTGTTGATTTAGCTCCTGTACGTTCCTGAGTGAAGCCCCCGTTTGTTTAGTCATTCATTCATACAGCCATTTTTTTTCTTACTATTTAAGTGTCAAGCACTGTGCTGAAAGCTGGGAAAACAAAGATGAATATCAGACACATCAGTAGGCATTCAGGAATAATTAGTTGCACAAAATGAATCAATATATGATTCTCCATCAGTGTCTATTATAAATAAACATAACAAAATAAGGTCACATCCTCCTCACAACTATTTACAAAGTATCATTGAAAATAATCATCTTCCAGCAAGGAGAGGGTGGTGGAGGAAAATTTTTAAAAAAAGAAAAAGACCCAGAAGAAGCTGAGTCTTAAATGATATCTAAGAAGCTTGCCAGATGAATGAGAAAAATAAAGAAATTCTGGATATAGGAAAGAGAATGTTTCAGAAATTGCCTGTGTTCCAAAATTGCTTGAGTATAGGAGTAGAGTGGCAGGGAGAAGAAGGAAAAGGGGCAGATGGAGTGATCAGGTTGGTAGAGGTTAGGCCTTAAGAAAGGCATGGTGGCAGAGGGAGACTACAGAGCATCCTTAAATCTCATTTATGTCGATTAATAATTGCTTTGTTACTTTGGAGACCACCCCAAGATTTCATTTCTTCATCTACTACAATGAAAAGCATAAGTCTCTTGCAAAGTTGAGATAAGGATCTGTAGCCATTGGGACATGTAGAAAGTACTCAGTATGTGATTATGATCATTTTTCTTTAAATCCCATACTAAAGAATTTGTGCTTCATTTGTTGGTTCAGAAGAGCCAAGATTTCAATTGGTGAAGCGGCACTGTTTGCATTCATTTTCTGGGTGAACAGGAAGAATAGAATTGACTTTGAGAAGTTGCTCAACCTCTCTGAGTTTTTGCATCTGTAGAATGGACAGCAGTAGAATGTACCTTTTCACCTTATTAGGAAGATTAAATAAGATCATAAACATCATTTAGCCCTGTGCCTAACCCAACAATAATCTATCAGTATGTGTTAGTTATTGTTCTTCCTCTCTTGATAGGGGTGAATTGAAAGCAAAGAGACCAGCCAGCTGGGAGGTGATTATTAGGGTCTAGTTGGAAAGCAGGGTAGGACCATGCCTTGTGAGATGGGCTGCAGAGCCAGATGTTAATTTAAGAATGAGAATCAACAAGCCTACAATTTGTTGAATGTGAAAGATAATCTCACTGTTGTATTCTTTCCCTCACAACATGCTTTTTTCTCTACAGAATAAAAACCTCTATAAATTACATCTATTTTTCTAAAGTATGCATTTCATATTAAAGGCATACATTTCCCAAACAGCCAGGTCCCCATTCCCTGAATGTCCCTACTAATGAACCACTGCAGTTGAGTGTCGCAGCTTAAAGGAAGAGGTTGCTTTGAGTTCAACAAAATTGGAACAAGTACGGGAGACCACAGTTGGATTTAACAAATCAACAGAAGTCCAGCAGAAGCTGTGACTTCCAATCTGTACCAGATCTGCCCCCTTTACCCTGCACACAAATTTAAATATATTAAAAGGATTATTAACAACATTAAACAGTTTAACAGAAATCAGCCTAAGCAATGAAACCATCTGGATATAGCTAGGATCAACTACTCTGGCTCCACTATAATAGAAAAATAATTTAAATCATCTCTAGTTCTCAAAAAGAAAGGGACACAAAGTAAAAACTGGCTTCCTTGCGAACAAATGGCAGTAAGTCATATCAGAGTTCTTGAGTGGGCAGAAACTATATCTCAAGAACACCAGCATGGCCTTAATGGAAGACTTGGCTGTTGTCTTCCAACATTTACAAAGTCCCTTTTAATTCTTGGAAGAACTTTAATCTAGAAGAAACCTGCAACATTTGACCGAATCCCTCATGTTCAGGAAGGGCCACCCTCATACTACTCAGATTCACAAGAATACATGTGAATTTCATTCTCTATTTTTGCCAGTAGCAGTTCCCATCAAGGCTTTGCCCTTCAAACTTACGTAAGATCATGCATATTGCCGTGGAGGTCACCAGGTTTCATTCTTATTTACATTGAAGAGCTGCAAATCTTCATAAATCCTCTTTCACATCTGTAGTATTCCACAGAGTTTCTCCTTGATTTTCTGAAAATTTTAAAGTGTTTTTTCAACCTCTCAAAGATGAGCTTTGTGAGTTTTCTCATTATATTTTCCAGATTAAACTCCTCCCTCATAGCAGCTCAAAGAACTAAAATGATAGTCTAGATTCTGCAGTATTGCTCGGTTAAGTGTAAGTGTCCACTCCTTGGTTCCTGAGTCCTTCTAATTAGCCTGGTATGATACTCACAGCCTCTTAACTGGAGGGCTCCTGGTAATCCTTGACTCCTGGGAGTTATGTCTTTATATGTTCCCCTCCTCTTGAATGTGGCCTGGACTTAGTGGCTTGCTTCTAATAAATAGAATATAGTAGAAATAAGGGGATGCCACTTCTAGCATTTGGCTGCAAAAAGATTAGCTTCCACTTGAGGCACTCACTCATTCACTCTTACTCTATTGGGTCACTCCTTCTGGGGAAGCCAGCACCTGTGACACAAACCATCCTAAGGAGGGGCCCACATAGCAAGGGACAAAGGCCTGCAATGGCCCTGTCCCAGGAAGACTTCAAGTGAGACCACAGCCCCAGCCAACACTTGAGTACAATTTCATCAGACACTTTGAGCCAGAGGCACCATAAACTTGGCCTTGGTTCTAGACTCACAGAAATGGTGAAATAATAAATGTTTATTGTTTTAAGCCTCTCAGTTTGGGGGCAATTTGTTACAGAGCAATGAAAGTGAATACAAAGGCTAAGACTGTAGATTCTGGAAACATAATATATGCATGAAAATCTTGTCTGAATCATGCATTAATAAGTGGCCATAGGGTAGTTATTTAATTTTTGTAAGCCTCGGTTTTCTGATCAATAGAAAGGCTATTCTAATAATAACACCTTGTTCATAAGGATGGTTATTTGGGCGTTAGTTGAGATAATGTACAGAAGTGCTTGACAGAGCGCCTGGTTCATAGAAAGAACTCATTGAATGTTGTTTTATGTTTATTATTATATTTAATGATTATCACTTTTAGACACCGATTTTTGCTTAGGGCCCTGTCCTTTATCTTCCCATGAACTATCTCTGGGTGGTTCTCTTATATTCCAGGACATTACTTCCCACTTAGGTACTTGTTACTACCAAGCCTCTGCATCTCCTACAAACTCATGGTGTACATTTATTTCCTGTTGAGTAATTCTACCAAACTGTCCCACTCACAGGTATTTCAGCTGAGAATTTCATCTACTTTCCCTCCCTTCCTCATACCAGCTGTGGCTGCTCTATTCTTATACTTAGAGGGGTCATGATCTAAGACCCTTGTTCTGAGTATAAATAGCCAAGATTGTGACAATCCTTTAAAACAATTATCGCAAGCACATGGTACTCAATGTACAGAGATATACATCATAATGTGCTAAAAATTAGGGACTAAGTGTCCATCAATAGAAAATCAATTAAATTATGCTCATGAGTAATAATAATTAACATTTATTTAGTCCTTGCTATGTGGTAAGCCCAGTGCTAAGAACGTTATATATATCATGTCAATTAAATCACAGCAACCCTGTAATTATTCATTCAGTGGGATTCACACAGCCCATTTTAAAGGATGCTATAGGTATAGATTTACCCCAATAGAAAGATATGAAATATTATAAAATGAGGAAAGAAAATTATGAGAGATACATATAATAGCACAAATTTAAGACACACATCTATGCATAGATGTGAACATATATAATAAATAACTTTCCATTACAGGCACTTTTCACAGTTTCAATATGCATAAATTTTCAGTTACCATGATCTAGTGAAGTAACGCCAATCCCCCAACAGTGCAGTTTTGACGTTGCTTGCTATAGGATATTCCTGTGAAGAACAAAGTACAGAGTTCATTTCTAGCTCTTTGATCATGGTCGGGGACAGTCACCCATGATCAGTTACTACGCATCTGCCATTCAGTTCACACAAGTGAATAGTTGTGTTGTCACCTTGTCCGCAAGGGAAAACTTGGATTCTTGAAAGAGAATTGACCAAGAAAAAAAAAATGTGAAAGTGCAGCAAAGAGACAAAAAGTGATAAAGCTTCAAGTTGACATGAATATAATGTGAATGGACATGGAGAAGAAATGTCTGACCCTGGGAATGTCAGCACCACCACCATCCAGAGGCTCCACGTGACAGCAGAGGGACTTCGTGGAGGGGACTTACCAGCATAAAGGAGGAAAAGGGTTGTGATGAACAGATGATCTCCCAGGCGAAGGAACCACAACAAATAATCTACTTCACATGAAAGGAACTCTCAGGGGTATTCCAAGACTGAAAGCCCAGAGGATCTAATGTTTAGAGCTGAGCCAGAGGGAGAAAGGAATGTTACAATGGTCCAGGGCATAGAAAAGATGCTTATACCATATCCAAGGAATGCGATGAAAAGAAGAAAGCAGGGACGCCTGGGTGGCTCAGTTGGTTAAGCGGCTGCCTTCAGCTCAGGTCATGATCCCAGCGTCCTGGGATCGAGTTCCACGTCGGGCTCCTTGCTCATCAGGGAGCCTGCTTCTCCCTCTGCCTCTGCCTGCCTCTCTGTCTGCCTGTGCTCACTCTATCTGACAAATAAATAAATAAAATCTTTAAAAAAAAAAAAAGAAAAGAGGAAAGCAACTGCTGGTCAAATGACTCTTTCTTTAAAAGAAAATTACTTTTCAGTGTTCTTATTGTTTTT